AAAATACTCTTTGAAAGAGTGTGGGTTGACGTTACATAACAACCTTATCCTTTCGAGATTATTAAGAGGGGGCGCATGTATCCCATATAGGTCCTAGGACCCATAGAGACCGTGTCTTCCCCTGAGAAGATTTTTTCATGCATGTCAAATCGAAGCGCTGACACAAGCGCATCCATGATGGGCATTAAGGTAATTTGAGGAGGTAATAGGGTGTTTTTCTCAGAAGTGGCAGAAACATAAATAGCATAATTCCGAGGAAAATGATTTTGTCGGCTAGCCCCATTTGGGTCATCAATACCTTTTGTGGGCCCACTTCGTACTTTGCCGATTCTCTCACAAAAGATCTCTCTCTCTCTCTATCTCACTGACGGCGTACAATTACCGTTAGGGCTTTCCCTAGATTCGCCCTGCACAAACGACGCCGCGCTATCATTTCATTCACTTAATGGCCATTGTGACGGGAAACCAGAAGTGGTTTCGAACGAAAAGACGATTCTGGCAGACCGCAGCTTGAGGCGCACGACTTTCAATGTCCACCGTCAAAAGCGGTTTTGTTGACTCCGAGAGCGGTTTTTCTTCTCAACTATAATTTCGAGGGCTTTGTCGTACTATGGTGAAATGAACGGAATCTCTCGGGAAACTCAGAATTGACGGCCAGATTTGTTCGTCAAAATTTCGCCTACGCGTTTTCGCCGGCGAATAAATTAATATTTCGGGGATCCAGATGGCGGCAAATTTCGTCCACGGCGAAGCCCACCCCCTTAAAAACTAAGACGTGGTCTATGAAGGCCCGGTCCACCACCATTTAAAGTTAATTAGACGACTGGGGTTGTCTTATAATATTTATATTTGAATATTTTTTTACAAATATTGATTTATCTACAATTTGCGGTATGTGTACATCTGACCATATGCACAAAAAGTAAAATATCAAATAAATTACCAAAAATATAAAATAGCAAAAAACCCCTAGGATATTTATAGGGGTAATGTGGGGGTTGTTATTATTTATATTTTATTTTGGTATGTCTTATCGAGATGAATGTATTTATTAAATTTGAAATTAATTCGATTTATAAAAAATTATTAAAATTCAAATAATATTGGACGGTGATAAACTATAAATGAAATATTATAAACCATCTTTTGTAAACAACACCATTGACTTCAAAAATATCTATTTATGCATCCATCTCTCGGGTAACTAAAAAAACGTTAGTTAATTTCTAGGGTTTTTTTTTTTTTGGTTTTTGTTCTTTTTGATGCATCCGGATCCTACTAGTCTTGTTTGACTACGTAACTCAAGTCTACAACACCACATGATGATGTAACCCCAAGAAAATTCTTCATTATTATGGGGCAAGACTCTCTCTCTCTCTCTCTCTCTCTCGTCGTCGTC